ATTTTCTGACGTTTTTGTTGTTTTTGCATCCTTATATTTGATATATAAAAATAATTAGGGGTGTGCGAATAGTAGTTTTCGAATTGAATACCTAATCGAATTGAGAAAAAAAAGCCGAATATTGAATCGAATATCGAATAGTGGTTTTATTTGTAGGAATGTTTCAGTGTGCTGTGAATGAGGTTATTATATGTGCAGAGTATGCACCTGGTGCAGTACGTGCATCTTGTATGGAACAGGATATTAAATGTATAAAAATGCTGGTAAAAAAAAAGAAAAAACAGCAGCTACTGATGGACGTGGAGCACTAAAGATCCAATTTAATGGCGCAAACATAATCTATTTACCCTTAAGCGTCACGAAAAACCCAAAGTTACAGCCACGGGTGTCTTTTTTTCTCGTTAAAAGCACGACCTAATACCGGGACATGTTCTTTTTTTTATATTTGTAAATCTCAGAAAAGGGGCATTTTGCTATATTTAGTCTCAATTTTAAAAGGCAACTCCGCTTCATTTTTGATATTTAGAAAACTATGTAGCCCTCTTCAGTATCATATAGACCCCATGTCAAATATTACGGTCTAAATCCGTCTATATATTTAATAAACTGGCCAGCAAACCTTCAAGTGAGCCAAGTCGCCGAAATCTGCCAACTCTAGCGTGCGACGTGAGGCGCAATCGTCAGCGCAGTCAATGGACGGAGTTGTAGCGGTCAACGTTGAACCACTACGTCAGAGGCATGACTACGTCATCTCACGTTTTGTTTGTTTTTTACTTCTCGGAGCGAAATTGAACAATGACGTCATGAGTTTCTCCTCCCGCTGTTGGCTCAAGGGCGTCCACGTGATGATTGTAACGCGGATGCGCTACTTTGCGCTGCCCTGCGCGCTTATCGGTCTGTTTTTCCGCTCCCCTTTTCCTCTTTCGTCTCCTCCCCTTCCCCCTCTCCCCCGAGCCATCACCGTCCACGCCATGCGAAGCGACCTGCCCGCGTCGCGTGTCCTGTCCCTCGCTCCCTCCCGAACGTCACAAGACCACGTGGTTCGACGTGACGTGGCCATGACTCTGACGACCCGAGACCAATGTTGCCTGATGCAACCGAAGTTTCGGTTTCGGTATCAGCTGATGTTTAAATTAAGATTACACAAATAATATTCCACATTTCGCGGATCTAAGGACGTAGAGTTGTTTAGTAGTGCTTTGCGAATTTGAATCACATGTAAGCCTAAATTTTTCGGAATGGAGCGGAGTTGCCCTTTAAGGAAGCAAAAGGGCACCCGGGATTTTATTTTATATATATAAGCAAATAGCTGTTAAATCTTAGTAAACAAGCTTAAACAATATAATCTGAAGTGAGAAAAAAAAAATGTGGTTAGGTAGCCCAAGTCACGGTCCAACTGCCGCTATGCATTCATTCCTCCGTCCATCTACCCTGCTTTAGAGCCTAGATTTAAAAGAGGGAGCAAGCTAAACTGAAACCACGGAGACGGCTCCTGCGCAGATTGGTCGTAAGTGCGCATGTGTTGTGTTGTCTTCTGGAAAGATGGCGAGCAAACGGTAGAGCGATGACGCCTGCTCGATTGACGCTTTCGTCTTTTCGTCACCTTCTCGCAGTTTGTAATTCAAACGCGGCTATCGAAGGGTTGAAAACCCTCTCGAATCTAGGTACTCTATTTTTCCGTTCCGTTTCGTTCCGAATGGTAGGACCAAAAGGTGTTTCTCGCATGGTCTGTCTAACATCACGGCGCTAACATCGGGAGAAAAAACAACTCTTTTGTCACCTCCGCGCCCACCGCGCATCTTTGGCCGAATATATTGAATATTCGAGTGACCAAATACTAGGAATTCGGTTCGCGAATCGAATTATTTGGAAACTTACTATTCGATTCAAATTCCTATATTCGAGTATTCGCTACCCCTAAAAATAATTAGTGCCAGATATGATCACAAAATTAGTCAAATACACATTTGAAGACCTCTAGGCGACCCAGAATGGCATGAATTTGAGCCATTTTTCTTCGCTTGGTTCTTCAAGTTGTAAGGTCACTCGCCATCGCATCTACGTTGCCAAGTAGACCTAGCCATCTCCTCTCCAGTCTTTTGTAGCTTCAATTTCTTGCAGCAATTTATTAACGAGATATTATTTTCCACACCGCAAAAGCGTATAGCTACACAACTCTGGTGACATTCAAACATGTTTTTGTTTTTTACGTACTTTTGGTGCTTCTTTGCAGTTTGTGACAAAAAATTATGTTCTTACTATTGTCCTATCACAACCAAATTTGGCAATAATGTACTTTAGAATATGTAGAATGAAACTACCTAGGCTTAGTTAGAATGTACTTTTTTTTAAATTTATGAAATATTTTAGGAATGTTTGTTAGCCCCTTAAAATTGCATTTTTGCTATTTTTATTTGTTTTAAAATGAAAGAAGCATCGAACACATTATTTTTGTTCATTGCACTCAGTGGATTAAAAGGAGCAAATTATCTTACTAGGCTTTTTAAAGTGTGTTGCCATGCCACATGTGTGCACTAATACATTTTTTTTCTCCATGTGCACCGAACCTAAAAAAATGGACAATATCGAAGCTGACACCATATTTATAAAGAGAAGATTGAGCATCATAAGCTGTAAAAAGTTTATTTCAATATCATAAGTAATAAATAAATAAATTTCCCCTCGTACATGTCCCCTTGAAAGGCCCCTGAAAAGAATTTTTTTTTTTTTTCAACAATGTGGTTGGGAGACGCGTGTCAAAAAATAAACTTTACGTAAAAAAAAAACTTTGTAGAGCAATATTGGTGGTGCGAGATGTATTTTAAATTCTGCGTGCAAAGTTCATGACATCACGGAATGGTCATACACTCTCTCCACCTCAACGAGATGGTCATACACTCTCCTCCACCTCAACGTGACGGCCAAGCCGATCCACCTCTCCTCCATGCGCCCAAAATGCCGAGAGAGAAAAGAAGTGGAAAGGAGGTGACTACCAACGAATTCGCATCTCGCACCGTAAATCTAATTGTTTGTCTCGCGCGTCCCAAACACACTGTTAACAAAAACAACCTTTTTTTTTCTTTTCGGGGTTTTTTAAAGCCCAAGCACCCCGTGCTTGCAACCCCAATGAAATGTAGTAACAACATTTATTTCACGAGCGAAATGCCGTAACTTGACAAAAATAACAACTGTTAAGTTCCGAGTGACATTTTAGATTTGCTTGTCTACGAGATTCCAGCGATTGACCGGTTGAGTCCGATTTACGTCGAGTGGTCTTGTGGTGACCTTGGCCAAGAAGCAATTGTTGGTCGTGGCCTGTCACAGCCAGCAAGTTGTTTCCCGACTTGCTCGGTCTGCAAAAGGCATGTAAGGATGCTGCTTTGAAGGAAACATTTGAAATTGTGTCTCTGCAAGAGCACTCCAGCAAGCTTTTGAAACTTTACGGACGGAAATCGGCAACTGCGAGAGTTTACTGCCAATTTTTGTGGTGTACCATTATAATACAACATTTACGAAAGCTTTGTCAATTTTAATAGAGTCTGAAGGTGGGTTAATCGGTGCGTGCAACAGCGCAAAAAAGACAAGGACAAATAGACGAAAGACACAGCGCTGTGTTTGTGTCTTTTGTCTACTTTGTGTCGACGTTGTTTTTTTCGCATTACCTTTGTCAATTTAGAGGATTTTCGACTTCTCATTGGGCAATAGCGATACACTCTCTATATCATGCGCAATGCTGGGTTTACTGGAATAGTTAATATGTAGCCACCGTCGTCGATCACAAACCCGTGTGCGCGGTGGTGAAGTAGTGGAGGCTTGCTTGCGCGAGTCCCATATTATGCTTGAGTAAAGGCGTGACAACCTGTTGATAGTGAAATACATGAAATGAAGCATGGGTTTCTTGACGTGTAGCGACTGAATCTCAAGAAAACTTGAGTTACGGTAATCGGCAGAAAACTCGAGGGTAATATGTTTACTCTCTCTGACGAGCAGATTCAATGACTTGTAAGGGACTTTGTGTTCAAATGTATTTTTGCCAGCATATGTTACACATGGCAGAACATTTCAGAGTGTGTCTGACATACTTTCTAAGGGTGAAAGGAAATTGGTTCAACGTCCCACTTAAAGGTTGGGAGTGAAAAAAATGCCTAAATATTTTTACTCTCACCTCCTTTAAAACAATCTTGTTGACGCCGGAGCAAAAATCGAAAGGGCAGATTCACCAAGTAACTGTTGATCAGTTACGCAAGGGACGTCATTATACCAGGCGAAATCATTGATATAGACAGATTTCAATTAGAAGAGGCCCTAATGCAGATCTTTGTGGCACTTTGAGCCAACCAGCACTTCTGAAGAGGCAGCATTCCCAATAGAAACAAACTGTGATTTAAGGAATTAGTGATTCGGTCGGGTAAAAAGGAATTGTGAAGTCAAACTTTTGGCTTCAAAAGTACCCTAGAGTGTGAAACTTGATAGCTTTAGCATAATATATAAAAATAGCATCAACTTGACCTGTTTCTCTAGAGATGAGACTATGTTGTTGGTGAATTCTAGCAGTTGCGTTGTAGTTGAAAACGAAAACCATGCTGTTCCCTTCAAGATCTATATGTTCCAGGTGCTTACTAGAGGTGGATGTTAATGACCAACCTTAACTGAGGAATCTAACGCGCGCCTAATTCTTCACTTTCACGCATGGTATTGTTTGTTCCATATCTTCCGTTTGCAGCAGAAATTCGCTCAACGGGCTCGTCAACGAATTCAGTCTGCTTTTTTCTTTTCTACTTTCTGTAGGGGGAGAAATGGAGTAGCCTCAATTCTGTTTTTTCCGAGCCCTCGCGTCGCTATAGTCTCTGACATGTCAAGAATTGGGGGGAAGCTCCTCTCTCCACTCAAGCAGACGGGACGCTTGAGGCGACCCTTGGAAAGGGGAGTTTCCCCCCGACTAAAGGGGGGGTCGTCGTTCCGAAAGTGGCTCGCTCCAAGAGGTGCCCCCGTCTGCGCAGAGCTGTCGCTGCAGCCGCACCTGAACGCCACGCTGATCCCAGCGCACGCCCGGGCGAGTGGACCGGACCAGGCAGCGGCGGCGTCGTCTTCGCAGCCGGCCAAGCCCGCCCAGGAGTCGGCCACCCCGGAGGCCTCCACCTCGTCCACCGCGTGAGGGCCCTCCCTGGGCCCCCCTTTGAGCGTGTGTGTGCCGCAACTGCAAAGTGTGTCCTACGCAACAAAATAATGGATCCTAAGAAATCCTCCTTTATAGATTTTGCTTCGCATATATGTCCGCGTGTGTACGTCACAAGTGTGTGCCGCCGTCGAAGCTGGACCAAGTCGGCTCTTTTTTTCCCCCCGTCGTTGCGAGGAACCGCGCCCGTCGCAACTCCGCCGACGACGTGGAACGACGCGAGAAGAGCTCCGCTAGGAACTGCCGGTCGGTCTTCTCCCTTCTCGCCCTTTAATGAACTCTCCCGACCTCGGGTTGTGCGAGATGCCGCAATGAACGTGCGGAGGTACCTTTCTTTCCGCCTCGAAACGGAGTAAAGATCCTCGAGTTTTTTTTATCCGCGAGACGTCCCTGGAGTGTACATAGGACGGAAGCGTGGCCGCCGGGACGCCCCGCGGTCTGCGCGTGGCCCGTTGTAAATACCGACGGCGCTCCGGCCCGAGGGCCGAACTTACGTTGTGCGGTTAACCAAGTAGACGGGAAGAGAGTGCGTGGCGGTCGGGCCTCTGCCACGCGGGCGTGCTCCGTTTCCATCGTTTGATTTTGCTCGTTTGAGTGTTCCTCTGGCACGTGCCCATCGGGAGACCGGCGTGTCCCCCTCCCCGTGGGCAGCGATGCCCTCAGACGCCCCCGGACCGGCGTCTCCTCGCACTCTCGAGAAGCCGCGGCGGCAGCGCTCTTGTGGGTACTGGGGCAGTTCTGGCGCCGACTGCCCGGACAGGAGATTGCGCTCCCCCGGTGCGGCTGGGCATCCTCTACCCGCGCACCCCACCTCCACCGCCGGATGCACGCCGTTTGGCGGGGCTCCGGATGCTTCTGCGCACGGGCCCGTGGCCTTCCCCGGTCCGAGAGCCTTGTTCTCCTTTGCCCCGGAATTCACCGGAATCGACCCGTGGGAAGCGCTTCTGCTTCATCCCCCTAGTAATCCGGATCGAGATTTGCAGACCTTGCGCGTAGTGCCTGCGGCCGGAGGGAGTCGTTTTCGCTCGGGAATAACGAGGTTTTGGGGAGACGGCGTGTCCTTTTCAGGGACGGTGGTCCTTCCCCGTGGCTCCGAGTGCGAGCGCTTCCCTAGTCTGCGCCGGAAGTGCCCATTTGGGCGATGGTCTCTCGAGACCTCCCGAGCGGCGGCCGTGGGGCGGCCCCCTGTACAGTTCCGGTCGGCCGGTCTCCACGCCTCTTCCCTGGCACGCAGTCGGGCCGTCTCCCGGGACTCGCGACCCAAGTCGCGGGCCGGCACCTCTCTGCCGCGCGCTTTTCCGAGGTTGCCCCCCCTCCTCCCCGAACGGGTCGGCCGTACGCAGTGTCTGGCGGCTTTCGCTTCTGCGGAGAGGAAGAAAAGTGTACATACTGCGCACACAGACACACCTCAACGCATCCGCGTGTGTATGAGCTCACTCCCACGTGTGCAGAAGGAGCGTGCAAGTTGCGAGTGCGCCTATTTATTTGCGACCCTCGAGGAAGAAAATGGCGGCGGCAGCTCACTGGCACCCGTTCGCCTGGCCTCTGGCGCGACGCCAACGCCGGAAACGGAAAATTGGAGGGCGGTGCCGAGGCACCCCTCGCTCCTGCCCTGTCCATCATTTATTGGAGCGTCTTCTCGGAGAGTCGGGTCGTAGGAGGCCCGAGAGAGGCCCAGTGGAGACTCTCCGGGGCGGGCCGGGTGGGAGTGGGGCGTGCCGGGTCGTCCCTCCGAACGAGCTGGTTCTTGCCTCGAAGGGCTGCCACGACGTCTGCCTCTGCACCGCTGCACTCGAGGGTCCCCTTTCTCTCCTCCTGATTTGTGACTGTTGTAACGCCTCGCATTAGTTTTAGACAGTGTTAGCGTAAACCTACTGCAGTCTTTTGTGTAGTCAGCCAGCACTGGAAAACAAATAAAATTGTATGTAAAGCAAGCATTTGCCGGCTCACTTCCTGGGGAGTATGGACGTCTTTCGCGACAGCCTTTCTCTTCGTCGAACGAGTTGGGACCCCTTCCTTCGCCTTGTGCTGCCCTCGCAGGTCCTAATAAAGTTTGTCTCGCTGCTGCCAAGTTCATCGTTTGCTGTCAAGTAAGTCTCGTAGCTCTACTTTGGGCGGGAATATATTCATCTATTACATCTTCTAAATCCCATTAAGATTCGTCGCCTGTCGTAGAAAATTCCGAGGCAGAATAAATTCCGATAATACAATAAAGAGCCAAAAGTTTTCTCTAATAGTACGAGACCTGTTAACCGAATAGAAAGATGCGTGAGAGATAAGAAGAAATAAGCATAAAATTACGCTAGAAAACAAAAATGTATCGCCAGCGCAGTTTTTACACAAATTGAGCGGTGCTGTGCCATTTGCGCCATGAACGAAAGTCTGCGACATCTTGCGCCAAAGTGGCATTTTTTATAAGAATTGTGCCAGACGTCCGACGAGATAGGCTTTAAAGGACGCATACAAAGGAAAACTTTTTTTTTTTTTTTTCCAAACAGCCTAATTGAAAAAAGGACAAACAAAACTTTTTTAGAGCTATATATACGGCACGAAACGAATTTGTAGTTGGCGCCCGCAGGAGACCGCAGAAAAGTGGCAACTAGCAGTCACTTGACTCGCCACTAGTCTCTTGCTGCTCGCACTCTTTCGAGAGCTTCCTATGGGCTGTAAAAATCACTTATTGTTTTGTGTTGCTCTTTCGTTTTACAAAATGTTTTGATGTTTGTGAAACAAGTATAAGGAAAACGTCACTTCTGTTTTGACTCGTACGACACCAAACAAAAGCTTTGCCATCCTTTGTTGGAAAGGGCACTGTGTCGCACGTTTTAATTCCTAACATGACTGGAAGCGGTTCTTGGTTTTTGAGTGCTGCATGAAAATGCGATTGCCTGTAAAAGCGAAATAGGGCTTTCCGAGAAGAGGAGATGGATCCTCCTTCCTGGATGCAATGCTCTGTGACTGAGTTTCCTCTGTACAGAGTGTGGCTTATCTGCAGCTTATCTTTTGCCCTGAAGTTTGTACAAAAAAAAGTGAAAGCCGTTTACAAATCCCTGTAACGCCGAATTGGAGCGCAGCTCTTGAGGAGGAGTAGGGAAGGGTACTGAGGGGGGCACGTCACCTGTGGGTAGTCACGTGACCCCGGGGGTCACGTGATCTCGGAGGAGGGGTGGTCACGTGGCCTCAAAAAGGGGGGGGGGGTCACGCCCCCCCCCCCCCCCCCCCGGTTACGCCGACGCCGCTCAGGCTGGAAACCGGCCCCTAAAGCGCGATCCAAACCAACGCTTCTTTTTGCGCCTGTAGGTCGTGCGGCTGCGGATGTGACGTATTTTCGTGACGTCGCGCCGCTTCTTCGCTCCTTCCGGGCGCGCACAAGAAAGTTGGTTGATTTCAACTTCTTTCTCAACGCGCACAAAAACGCGCGGTGACGTAGTAGGGCGCTCCTGTCTCCAGGCCAATCGGTGGAGGGCAAGCTAGTTGCGGCTCTGCGTTTCTCGCCGTCTGGCTGCTCTCTCCTCCCCCCCTTTTATTCTCTTCCAACATGACAACGCGATCTCTCTCTTTCTCTCGCCGTCTGGCCGGCCAGTCTGTCGCAGTTGCACTTTGCTTGTGCGCTCGTGCCGAAGTTTCGCCCGTCCAAACCAAAGCGCACGGTTCTGACTCAGAAAGCGCGCCCGGAAACAGCAAAAACGCCACGAAATGCGTCACATCCGCAGCCGCACGACCTACAAGCGCAAAAAGAAGCGTTGGTTTGGATCGCGCTTAAGAGCAGCGCTCTAAAAGCTTCTTGACTCGTCCTTCCTTGTGGCCCTCACATTTTCATCAATGCATTCCAATCCAGGCTTCTGACACGGGGCAGCAGTTATTTAGAAAAAAAAAAAAGTTGATTCATGTTGGATTAAAAAATGCAATGATCAAAGAAACGCCGAGCAAAGATGTATTGCGCAGTTCGAGAAACAAACTGTTCTTGTTTCCTGGTCCTGCAAGCTTTTTGTGCTCCGCAAGAGAGCGAAGGTTCCTTCGCTAATCTTCCGGCCCACAAATTGTGATGCATCCAAATGGGGGGGGGGGGGGGGGGGGGGGGTACGCTTTTTGCAGGCTTATCTCCATCCACATGCTTGCACAACAAGTGCTCACTTGCTTGACCTTGAACCACTTCCCCATCTGAACTGCGCAGGCAGACCCATGCCCACCTTTCTTAGTCTCTTCTTTACATTTTTCGCTTCCCTCGCTCAAAGTTATGTAGAGGAGGAAAGCCCTGCAGAATCTCGAGTCTGATCATCCCACCTTTAACCCTTTGCGGTCATCAGTGGGGCCTGGACCAACATTGCTGAACCGCCGTTCCGGTCAGGTGTCCAACAATTCAATGGGCGTTGCCTAAAAATCCGCTTTTGTGCTTGTGACGCCATTTCTTTCAGGGTGTTGACAACATTTGTTTGGCTACTCTCTACTATGTTGCAGAGGGCAGCACAATATTAAGGCAGGAACACATTTGCGAAAAAACGAACCGGAAATCGAAGAGAAATCGGAGGCTGCGAAAATCGTAGCTTGCGATTTTCGGAAGACGAGCCACATGAGGTGGAATGCGTGGAGCGGAAATCGCAATGCACTGCGGTTTTCGTGCTCCGACTTCAGGAGGCTGTGCGGTAGTCTGGCGAACTGGCGTTTCGTGCCTCTTAAAAACCTCAGCTATTAAAACCTCGTTGAATGCCACGCGGGCCTTTGTACCACCACCCTTTGATAAAGACAGAAGGGGTTTTCTACAAAAGTTGAGACGAGAACGCAGGGATGGCAAGCGATGCTGCCTGCGCTGCTTCCGAAGCTGCGTGAGCCGCCATGTTGCGAGCCGATCGTCTCTTTTCGTTCCGTCCTGTTCCGGGCTTTCGCTCAGCGAGCTCCTCCGCCCCGAATTCGGAGGCGCCGTGCGAAAATATCTGGCGCTGCAGATCTTTCGAACCGCTCCCGATTTTCGGAAAAGGGGAGGAGCCTAGCTGCCGTGCGATTTTCGTGTGCGGTTTTCGCACAAAATTCGGCTTTTTTTCGCAAATGTGTTCCCGGCTTAACAGTGCAATACGCACTCTTTATTGGCGTTGCGCATCCATGATAAAAAAAAAATGGCTTCCTTTGAGCCGCGCGCGTTTTATCGAAACGCTTGGGGCACAAACTCCCGGAGAGCGACGATTTCAGTGAGGAGGTATGCCTCCTTCAAAAGGTGAAGAAATGTCCTTTGACGACACTGAGCTCGGTGGCGAAGAAGATGCTGCAGGAGATAGTGACTGTGGGGATGCTCCACCACATGCTTCTTCCTGAAGGCCATACACCCAAGGCCTTCCCAACTTTTTTGCTGTTCTCTTCATCCTGAAGCGCAGGTCCCAACCTCGAATCTCCAGTGTGAGCTTGACTACTTCCCAACTATTTTTTCCTAGATGAATCGAAGGAAGTTATTGTGCAAGAAACTAACAGGTGGGCTCGAGAAAAAATTGAGTGCCAAGCTCCTAGCGGAACAGTCTGTGTGGAGAAGCTGGGAGGACGTCTCGATGCCAGAGTTGAAAGCTTCTTTGGGGGGCATATGAACATGGCCCTAAACCCGAAGCCCAACATCAAGGAGTACTTTTCACGGCACATCCTGAACAAGATTCCATTCTTTGCATCTGTGTTCACACGAACAAGGTTTCTTCAAATCTGGACGCTGCACGTGTCTCCAAACACTCAGAAGCAAGGTCAGAAACATAGTGCAGTACGTTGAGAGAAAATGCAGAGAATGTTTCAAAGCTAAACCGAAGACCTGCGTTGATGAAAGCATTGTGGAATTCAAGGGGCGGGTGTCATTCGAGTGTTGCAGTCCCCAAAAACCGACGAAGTGGGGCCTTTGGGCCTATGTTCTGGCTGACCGACTGGTTACGTTTCAGCTTTTGTACCATACTATGGTAGGTATGGTAGCACCACCACAGAGTCTCTGCAGCCTGGATCTGCCGTTTACGTGCCATATCATCCTCAACCTCCTGAAGAAAACCAAGCATGCCTCGGGAGGAAGTGGTTACCGCATGTACATTGACTGATTCTACAGATGGCCGCAGCTTGCAGAGGAGTTGCTCTCCAGGCTGTGATATTGACCGAAATGGTATATCAAGCTAAAAATTGATGCCGCATAACTAAAAAAAAAAAAAAGTGAAAGGAGAGGGCGACTCTTACATGGCGTTGGCCTGGCAAGACAAACGCCAAGTCACTATGCCAGGATGTCTAGCGACCGGGAATTGTCGGGGATATTGTCGAAAAGCAAGCCCAGTCAGGAAAAATGAGCCAGAAATGCCATCGAGTGCCCCGAGCAAAGACTTGGGGGCAGAGAAATGGGGAATAGTGCTTGGAGCGGAGCGCAGGCTTTGCTTACCCGATGTGGAGTCTTTTACACGATGCAAAGGGAACAGCCGACAAATCCAGTCCAAGCCTTGGACTGGATTGGTGTGGATTCAGGGCTCGACACTAGGTTAGATCCAGTTATAGCTACAAGATTTAGTAACAAATTGGAAAGTCACAGACCCCAATCCAAGCCCCAAGCCGAAAGTATCCGAAAGTGTGCATCTGGCGGCTATGCTGCCATTCGGTTAGTGACGTGTGTGGTTGAGCGTTGTGTCTTCATTGTGTTTCCGGAAGTGGCGTCTTCACTGACAATGTCGGCGGCAAGAAGGTGCTTGCTTAATCTGGAGTGGACGAACCTGAATATTTTTTGAATATGCAATTTGGATTAAGCCCTTGTAAAAATGATCCTCACAGTGCCCAATGCTCAATGCCTTGTGTTGTAATGGCCTTATATATCTAACCGCCTCTACAGTGGTCAGGGAATTTCACCTGAAGTCGTCAGGGAAAACCTGGAAAAGTCGGGGAAATTCCAGATAATTTGCTAGACACCCTGCTACAGAGTGTCGAACCGATATTTTTAT